TGGTGATGGTGAAGGTGATGGTGGAGGGGAAGGAGGGGGAGGTGACAGTGGTGGAGGTAGCGGTGGGATCCTCAGCTACTCTCCCTCAGCCTCACCTGGAGCCCCTTGGAAGAAGAAAGGACAGAACCCCTCATCTCCCCAGACAGAGGCTCTTGGCTGTGCACAGCTCTGGGGACCAGAAGGACCCTCCTCCAGGGTCCTCTGCCCTGCTTCCTGCGGATCAAGAGTGCTCCCTGCCCCGGCCTGCAGCTTCCTGTGGCCTCTTGCTGACCAATTGTCAGGAGAGCGCAGGGAGGGCCACCTAATGACGTCATCCCTAGACCAGTCATGAGGTTCCGCTGGGCGCTGGGCCGGGCTTTGTATGGGGGGACACCAAGCTGCGTGTTCCCAAGGTGTCATTTCCGTCTCATGGGGACAGAATGGCAGCTTGGAGAAGTCAGCAGTCTCCCCAAGACACCTCTGCTAGGTGCTAAGGGAAGGCCGCCCTCTCAGAGGTCACCCAGGCAAAGTCAAAGGTAAAGGGACAGGCAGAGGCCAGTTCCCAGTGCCTGTCCTCCTCCTTACAGCCCAGCGCTGAGCCCGAGCACCTTCTGCAGTCCGGGGCAAGGCCTTAGCACCCCAAGCGCTCACGCAGTCAGCCAACATCCCACAAACCCAAAGCTGCTCTTGAGCCAGTGCTCCGCCTGCGAGGAGTTACCCGGCAGCTGAGCCTACCCTGCCTGGGCCCCTTCCGACTCCTGTGGGTTTGGGGGACCCCTTGCGCCTTTGGGAAGCCTTTCCAGAATGGCCGCCCACAGTAAGATCATTCGAGGGCAGGCCAGCAGGAAAAGTGTCCAGGTCCCCTCGCCACTGACCACAAGCCTCCTTCCTTGGAAGGAGACAGGCGATGCAATGAGGACCCTGGGTCGGCTTCCAGGATAGGCCATGCCTGCCAGGTGGAGAGCCTGGACCCCTGGGGTCCCTGGGGTCAGAGCCGGCTGCTGAGGCCACGTGGCCATGGCCACAAGGCAGGGCACTCAAGATCCCCGCGAGATTGGCGGCCCTAGTGACACAAACACGGGGCCTCGGGCACCGTAAGCTCATGTGCTGGTCAGCAAGGACGGGGCCCTGCAGCGCTTCCTCTATGACTGTCCCCCAGCCACCTGGCATCAAGTTGTTACCGCCTGGGGTCAAGTCGACCCCAATTCGTACAGACCCCATGCCCAGTGAGCATGTTGCTGCCCGGTCGGGTGCCGCCCCCATGGGCAGCGGTGTATCTCAGACTCCTGTGATCCACAGACCTGTCCCTGGCTGCCCTGTCCCTTTCTTCCTAGTCTGTCTTAGTCTGGATGCTCCGCCGAAACCAGCTCAGGAGCCTAGCAACACGCCAGCCTCACAGACAGGCAGGCGGTGGCTGCACTTGTGGTTCATTGACTGGGAAGAGAACTGGGGTCTCCCACTGGGAAGGGGAGCATTCTACCCAGGGCTAACTCAGCCCTGATAGCCATAGGCAGAGCGCGTCAATACATAAATAAATAAATAGACCAAATTCACTGCCACGGAGTCGATGCTGACTCATAGCGACCCTGCAGAACAGGGTGGAACTGCCTCTGTGGGTTTCTGAGACAACAGTAGAAAGCCTCATCTTTCTCCCTCAGAGCAAATGGTGGTTTTGAACTGCTCACCTTGGGCCAGTATGTGACCACGGCACCACCAGGACTCCCTCCCCAGCTGCCATCTAGCTGATTCTGGCTCATGTGACGATCCCATGGGTGCAGAGTAGGTGCTCAACACACATCCTGCTGTTTGTTGCTGCTAGGTGCTGTGGAATCGATCCTGACTCACGGCGACCCTGCAGGACAGGGTAGAACTGTCCCTATGGGTTTCTGAGACCGTAACTCTTCATGGGAGTAGAAAGCCTCGTCCTTCTCCCGAGGAACTGCTGGCGGTTTTGAACTGCCACCCTCCAGGATAAGAGAACAGTCCCACAAGGTTTTCTGGGCCACCGGCGGCTCCCGGGGAGACAGTTGAGCCTGTCTGCTCCTGCCAAGACCAACATTCTCGGAAACCCTGCACGGAGTGCTGTGAGTCAGCACCCCTCGGTGGCAGGGAAACGTTTGGTTTGGGGTTTGGAATCTCTACAAGATCAGTTCACAGACTGTCTCTCGTGGAGCCGCCGGAGGAGGGGGTGTTTGAACTGCTTAGCAGCTGTCCCTCCTCTGAAATTCTGAGCACAAGCCTGGGACAGCGTGTCCACTTCACGTCAGGGACCTGGTGGCTGAGAGAGACGACACCTCCTTTGTACACGGCCAGCCTGGGGTCTGGTTTCCCTTCTTCCACTGATTTGAGAGAAGTGAGCCCCCACCCCACCCCAAAAGGAGCAAGTGAAAGCCGTTGGCTCTCCCGCAGAGCACACCCCAAAAGGCCTTGATTGGGGCATCTATCTCCCTGCTCCGACCCCCGCCCATCCCATGAGTAATAAGCACATTCAAGAGTATTCGATTCCATCACCGTGGGTTCAGAGAAAGAGCGATGTTCTTTTCAAAGATGCAGAAAATTAGACCTCTGGTGTCCTGTCCCTGACTCTGCCTTCTGTCAATCAGTGCCATTGTTGCTGCTGCCATCATGGGTCGCAGAGCCGGGGGAGGTACAGGTTTCATCAAGAGGCTGGGAAATGCAAGAGGCTCTTGAAAAATCAGTTTTTGAAGACACGCTGGGATAGTTGGGTTTTGCATCAGGTAGACCGGGCCAGGCTTCTCAGCGGTTCGACAGTTGAGACCTAGCCGTCTGTCCCCCACACGGTGACCTCACACAATGTTCTCAACTCCATCCCAGCAGTTGTAAGATTAGGGTGGAGGGTGACCCCCTTACTCAGGTCACAGTCCTGGCGCAGTTCAAAGGAAGTTTCCTCCAGGGTGCGGCCTGCTTCCCATATAAGGGGACAGGGTGGAAATGCTTGCTGGCTTCTTGCTAGGTCTGGATCCTACACCTGGCTCATATGCCCTCTGATTTTTTTGGAACGGCCAATCTCCTGTCATATCGCCTGCCGGCCCCAGGAGTCTTCCGGGACCTGCCACCTGATCTTCCGACCTAGGATTCATTCACCTCTTCAGTCACCAGTCTGTGCCTTCCTGCTAACCTTGGGTTCATCAGCCCCCACCCCCAGCTACGTGAGTCAGGAGAAGCCCCCAGCCTGACATCTGGCCCACAGACTTGGTACGAGACCAGACTTGGCCTCTTCTACAACGGTGTGAGCGTTTTCTTGATGTCAGTGTCTTTCGGTCTCTATATATCCATCTACAGCATCATGGAATTTCCTTCCTAAGAGAAGCCAGCCTCCCACACACCAGGAGAAAAGGGACCATGGGCCCTCCCAGTGGAGTCAAGGGCCAGTCGACCCGGCACAGGGGATACGTACCCTCACGATCACCACCTGCACAGACACGTAGTCGGGAAACCGGATGGGGGCCCGGAAGTGCATGGCCAGGGCGATGAGCAGATGAAGAATGGACACCAGGTACTTCCCGTGAATTGCTTTGGGAGAGAAGGGGACAGTGGCTTCCTGGAGCAGACGGTTTGCGCCCACCAAAAGGTGGGCGGTTCAAACCTATCCAACAGAAACCCACCCACCACAGGGGTCCTCCTCGGGAGGGGGGTGACTGGGAGTTAGCATCGACTCAACCACAAATGATTTGGTTGTAACAGAAAGAGCATACATGGGGGACTTTGTAGAACAGAGATTTATTTTCTCGTGGTTTTGGGGGAGAAGGGGGGTTTATTTTTATTTTTAATCATTATGGAAGCAGATCACCAAGTCTCTCTCCCACAGAGCAGCTGGTAGGTTTGAACTGCCAACCTTTCACTTGGTGGCAGAGCGATTTAACCACTGCACCACCAAGATTCCTTATCCACAGATGCAAGGGTTAGAATTTCAGCACATCTTTGTTTTTGGAGGGGGACGGGGAGGTGGGGCGGAGATATGGGACACAATTCAATCCATGAGAAATGCCAAGCCTACATTGCTGTCGATTTCATTTCTTGAGCTGGGCTGTGTAACTAGATACAGTGTGCTTCTTTCAAAACGAAAACAAAACAAATAAAAACCCCTTCGGCTCCCTTATCCTCAGACCGCAATGTGGGTCTGGGTGGATAAAATGAAACAAAGCAGGGAAAGAAAAGTTCAAATGGATTTGCTTGAGTCTTTAGTGACAAACAAGTCCATTTCCAACAACCAAGCGGAAACCACAAGCGGAGTCTAAAGGCAATAAGGCGGAGAGGGCCGCGGGGGAGGAGGAAGCGAGGGAGGGGCTACGCTGGGACTGTTGTTAGTTTAACACTGTGAGAATGGAAGATGCTGTCAGGTGCCTCAGAGCCAATTCTGACCCATAGCAACCAGGTGCACAGCAGAAAGAAACACCACCGGCCTGACACCAGCCTGCAGCCACTGTGTCCATCCGTCTTGCCAAGGGCCTTTCCCACTGCTCCTCTGCTCGACCAAGCTGGACGTCCTTCCCC